GAATGAACGATCTTACCCATCTCTATATACCATTTAACAAGCCTCATAGCTATATAAAAAACCATACGACTTAGGATTAGAGGTTCATAATCTCTTCTTTTAATCGGTATTCATTTTTTTTTTCTTTTAATATCCGCATTGCTGCATTTTTAAGCCTATATTCCTCATTTTTTTTACCGACTTAATCATCACAGAATCTTCCACCAAACCATAAGAACTTGTTTCGTAGGTATATTAGGAAATCTAGACATCACAACCACCATCTCAAAGCCACCAACACTCTAACTCAACCTTATAAGAGTCACGTCATCTTTAGAAGTCTTAAACGTTCTTAAAATTTTAATTATTTTACGAGCTTTGATTTACGAATTTGGTGCTAAAGGTCTTGCATTAAATTAAGGTTTTTTCAATTTAACTAATAACCTTAATGTTTAAGGTTTTAACTTATTTTTTTATTTTTAATTTGAGTTTAGTGTAGAAGATTATATATATATATATATATATATAATCTTACACTAAACTCAAATTAAAAAAAAATATATATATATATAATCTAACCTTCACAAAGTGTTACATATCAAATAGCATGAAACATATTTCATTGTCGATGAAGTATGAAGACAAGTTAATGACATGTTCAAGCTAAGGGAGCTCGAGTTCTATTGGACAATTTTTATATTTGAGCTAATTGTGCTATTTTGAAAATAGTATTTGGAATTTGGTTTTATATTTATTTATGGCTAATTGAATTTTGAAGCTATCTTTATGTTTTTTATAAAAAAAATATCAAATTTATTTAATAGATTTTATAATAAAAATATTAGAAGCTTTGCGAGGTCATTTCGACCTATAGCTTTATGTGCATAGCTCTCAAAAGAGTTTAAAGAGAACGACTTCTCTAATTTATTAAGGGGAGAAGCATTGATGCAGCAGATCAACTACTTTGGTTTCGAAAAGTAGCTAAGCTTTGGAACACTCATTTTAGTGGAAAAGAAGTATATTTGTTTGTTTTATAAAAAATATTTTCCAAAAAAAATGTTATACTTTATTTTCTAATGCAAAACAAACATTGAAAAATAAGTCAAGAAAATATTTTTCAATCAATCTCTAGATAGTGTCAATTTAGAGAAAAATACTTTAACATAAAAAAAACAAACAAACAAAAAAAAAGTGGTATTTTTTTTTATGCTATCAACTCATAATATTTACTAACATCATAACTTAATTACTTCAATAATTACTATTAGCAACATCATCACTACCATAACAACAATAACCACCACCATTCGCATCATCGTTGACCACCACTATTGACATCATTACAACAACCAGCTTTATTACCAATGTAACTTTCATTTTATTACCAATGTAACTATCATTTTATCACCATCCTACCATACCTCTTTAGCACTATCACCACAACAACAACCACTAATTAGTTATCTATATAACCATCAATCTATTACTATTTCTACCATCACCATCATCACTCTAATACCATCATTACCATAGTAACAAATACCATTACTAATCACCATCAGTTTCTTACTATTAAAGTAACTATTATTACAATTATCATTTTATTATTGTTGTCACCATCACTACTATCACAACAACTATCATTTTATGATCACCATTATTCTCATCAACATTATCACAACTATTATCATAACTACCACCACCATAACCATCACTAATATTACTATCACAACTACCACCATTACTACTTCTATCACTAATACCATGATTTTTTAATCTTATTATCATCATTCGAAAACAATCAATGAAAAATAATCTATTTTATAGGAAAATTTTTTCTTATTACATCTAAATAATGAAAAATAACTCATTTTTTAGAAAATTATTTTCTTCAAACGAACCTATGAAGCAAGATCATTAAATTGAAGATAGCCCAACACCTTGGTAACAAGGAAAAAGATGAAGAGATTATGTTACAAAATTACAAGTACCGACTAATCGTGTACTCCCATATTATGGAGATGATACGAGTTTTGGTTGTTCAATTATTTATATATAAACGATTGTTTAGTGATTTAACTATATTATTATAATTGTATTTGGGTGTTATCGTATTTATTATAATTCGAGAGAACAGACTTTTCGGAGACCAACTTTTGATTATTATTTTTTTAATTTTGGTGCCCAACCATTGATTTCTAATGATTTACTATCCGGGTTTGATATTTTATTTGTTTGTTTTGATATCCGAATTGACCTAAAACTTGGTTTTGCTTACATATCCGATGAGAGCTATCACATGGAAGTCAAAATGCCATATGGCAATCAAAATAGATCACATGGTAGAAAACTCTAGACACATCGATAATCTATATTCTTAAGTGATTATGGGCATTCAAATAAAAAAAATCAAAATTTAGGCATTGAAACAAAATAAATAAATAAATAAATGTTAGGAACAAAAAATGTAGTTTTCTCCAAAAATATTTATTGCATCGAGATTGCAAAATAATTATAACAATTTCCATTTGGTTGCATTACCAATAAATATTTTTCATATTTTTCATATCATAGTCATGATATTTTTTACTTATCAAAGATAGTTTTTTAGTACTTTATATTAGTTAAAAAATTACTTTTAGAAAATTGTAAATCTTTTTAGCTATCCAACCAAATTTTAACATTATTTCATTTAGTCTAAATATTTATAAGGTCCAATTAAGATTAAATTAAAAAAAATATTTGGTCCAATTATAATTGCTATTTGGGGAATAAATGGTAGGCCAATAGAGAATCTTACAAACAACAAAAATTAGCTCCATATAAGGAGAAGATCGACTAACATATCATGAGTGATACAAGTTTTTTTATGGTTAATAACTTGTTGAACTTTTTACATTAGATTAAGATGAGATAGAATCAACATGAATAAATTTAGTGATCAAACTTTTTAGTTTAGGTGTTGAAAGTGTAATATTTTTTATAGTGGTAACGATAATAATAAATGCAATAAGTAAATTATGAATTAAGCTAAGAAGTGAATGCATTGTTAGCATTACTTGTACAATTATCATAATAATAAGAAATATGTATGAATGTAATTGTTGATCTTCTTGGAATTTAGAATTATATGACTTTCAATATTTAGAGAGAAGTTTTGAGAGAATACACACGTGTGAGACACACACACACACACACACACACACACATACATATATATACATATATACACACACACACACACACACATATATATATATATATATATTATGGAAGCACAAAAAATGCATGAACTTTATTTATAATAAAGAAAGAATAAATTGAAGTAAAAGAAGAAAAAAGACATTTGGTGTTAGAAAACTAAAATAAATTTCTTGAGAAACTTGCATTTTGGATGCTCAATTATTGTTTTTTTTTTTTTTACGTGCCCAACCTATATTTATTTATTTCTTTCGTTTCAATTCCTAACATTTGATTTTTTATTTTTATTTTTATTATATTTGAATGCCAACAATTACTTGAGAGTACGAATTGTTGATATATATGGAGTTGATTACCATGTGGTATTTAACTATCACGTGACCACTCTCATCAAATATGTCAGCAAAATTGAATCTCGAGTGAATTCGGACACCAAAACAAATAAAAAAAATCAAAAATTGAATAACAAATCATTAAAAATTAACGATTAGACACCAAAATAAAAAATAAATAAATAAAACAATCAAAAGTCGGGTACTAAAAAACCCGTTCTCTCTTGTAATTATGTTTATTTGTAATTTTTCTATTGCATTTAAACATAAATAGTAATAGATCTTGTACCCATGAAAAATGCTTAACCAAAAACTTGTATAATATTTATAGCGTTTTTTTCTAATGTGGTATCAATTTTAAATTTTATTTTATTGATTGAGATTGAATTTAAAATTTTTGTCCTAAAACTAAAATAAAAAGTAATAAAATTTTTAAAAATATATAATATACTTTATTTTCTCCATACATATTGAATTTAAATTCTTGATTACTCTTGATTTTTTAAAGAAATACTATTGTATCACTTTTTTTTTTTAATTTTATTAAGAAAAATGGCTGAATTAAAAAATAATAAGGCTTTAAATAGTATAATTCAATTTCAATATTATTTTAAACTCTTAAACAACTTGAAGGACCTTTACGTGGATTGATCTAGCATAAGAGAACGTTTTCCTGAATTTTTTTTTCTTTTAAATTTTTACATCTTATTGAAAAATATTCGACACTCATTTAAACTAAAGCTTAAATATAAGTTTTCAATTATGGTGTAAAGGACTTTGTTTAAAATTTTTCTCATTATTTCTCTTTTTTCAACTTGGTATGGATATTTTAATTTCTCTTCTTCTTTTTTTTTTATCTACATACGTTCCAAGAAAAATCCAGTGCATGAGTTTATTTCTTTAATAAATAGAAAAATTTTATAGGTTAAAATTTAAATATATTAACTCATAAAAATTCATTTGTTTTAATTATAAAACATACTTAAAATTGCGACCGTTATATATGGTATTGTTAATTGATAGATATCACACGTTGTATTTAGAGGCTAGTTTAGAAGCAAGATGCAACAGATACAGAAAGATGTCTAAATGCTTGCTTATTTATTTGAAATTACCAAGTTATGGTAATTTCTAGAAAGCCGTAGACCAGAAAGTGGTGAGAGGCTGTCAACTCGAAAAAACCAGGTGCGAAGTCAACTGAATAATGAAAAAACACGTTTAGTTGTGGGATAAAAGTCATACTAATACTACTCGTCTTCGAGAATGGACAGTAGATCGAAAGTACCACCGATATTTCCGGGCTCCCACAAAACAAATCGCCACTCGGCCTCTTACGCGCCTTTCCTTTCTTGTCTTGTCAATAAATAAATGCTCCGTCCCAGGCCACCAACCAACCTCTCTTTATTCAAAGATTCAAGAACCGACCCACCCTCTTTCTCTCTCTTTCCCCTTCGCACAACCAATTGAAGTTTTTGGAGTGGTTGAGAAATGCAGGTGAGTTCGAATGTTAATGAAGGTTCCACTACTGCAGCAACCGAGTATGCAGAAAATGAGCCTTTTTTAAACAACGAGAATACACATCCACCGCCAGTAGTGCAAGATCAAGAAGAAGAAGAAGATGAAGTTGACGAGTTTAGTTTTGTATGCATAAATCCTGCAGGCTCGCTGATATCCGCTGAAGATATATTCCAAAACGGGCAGATCAAGCCCATTTTCCCTTTATTCAACCGAGATGATAATCTTCTGTTTGTTGATGATGATACAATCAAAGCAGCAGCAGGAGCAGGAGGGGGAGGAGGTCGGTTAATGTTCGTAGAAGATCGCAACGAAGCGGAGGGACCGACCTGCTTGTGGACAGGGGGTAGTAAACCCTTGTCAGATCAACAGATGTGCAAGAAGAGCAACTCCACAGGGTTCTCAAAGCTAAGGAGGCTTCGAGAATTTGTTCTTCGAAGTAATAGTGATGGAAAGGATGCCTTCGTCTTTCTCAATCATAAAGAGTGTACTTCTTCTTCTAATCCTCCTTCAACAGCAGCAGCAGCAGCGACTACTTCCGAAAAGATTGCTAATGAGAAGAAGATGAAGAAGAAGGATGTGGTGGTGGTGAAGAGAAAAGAGCAAAGTAGTAAAAGGGTGTCGTCGTCATCCTCAGCTCACGAACAGCATTATCTAAGGAATAGAGCAATCAAGGATGGGGATAAACAAAAATCATATTTGCCATATAGGCAGGATATCTTTGGTTTTTTCACTAGCGTCAACGATCTCAGCAGGAACATTCATCCCTTTTAGTTTCTATAATCTATAGGGTTAGTGTTTTTTTTTTTTTTAATTTTATTTTCATCAAGATTTCAAAATGTAAAGTTGAAGTTGATTAGACTTTGGATTTGTAGGAGTTATGTTAATACTAGTAGCATTAGCATATTTATGTGTTGTTAAGGGAATATCAATTGGATCTGATTTTCCGATCCAATTGATTGCCTGATAACCGTGGAGGATCCTACCAGCTTCTCTTCTCTGTACATAAACTCTATTAACCATTCTTCTCTATAATCTGTTTAATTTATTAGTATTGCCTTTGTTTTAAATTAAGTTTGAAGTTGAATTTGGCCGAGCAACCAACACCTGGTCACTGCTCCAGACAAAGCTAGTTTGTTAAGAGATTGGTGCTCCATGATTGGCATCTCTCTTACATGGTTACCTAGCGAATGAGTTGAGCATATGTACGTGTCTGTTAATAGCCACAACCACCATAAGACTGTCCAGCCCAATGGCGGCTCCAAAAACATTACTCCTAGATGCCAAAACCGACATTATTAGCACAAGATCAAAACAAAAGAGTGCCCATTGCGACCACTTTTAATAAACCATTATTTTGTTTTGAAACATTTGAGTTGAATAATTATATCAGCTTGACATGAACCGTTTATTGAAAAAAGTCGCCATAGATTGTGTTGTGTTACCTTGTTTAATATGCTGACTAAATTTTTAATGATAAATTGATCTTTGAAGATTTAATACTGGGTCACTAACTAAACAACTCATGCTCAAATACACCTGTAACCTCATACATCTTGAATATGACATTTTAATACGAATTAACACTCCTAAGTTTAACCATCTCAATGTTCTTGCTCTCTTTAAATCTAGTACAACATGTGTCTGAACCTACGAGGCGATACTATAAAAAACACTTTCAGCAAACAAAATACCAAAATCTACTCTGGTTTTATTAATTTATACATAGTTTGGAATAAGCACCCCACTGAAGGTGGTACATACAACTCTTGTCACCCAATAGGAAATATACATTCTACATTCTGCAAGTCATATAATAAGTCAAACATTGGGCAGAAACTGATCAAGCATTCATCTCTTGATTTCATAAACTATACAGTCGTGAACTCATTATTATGACAGCAGGAAACTATTAACGTTAACATTTGCATATACTTAAAAAAGGAAACCGCTGATTCAATTCATATATATCTGCAGTATCATGTCTGGATACCTCATTCCAGATTTGCTGCAAGTAGTGGCTGAGGTCATATGCTGTTAACTTGAACCCTGAATCTGCCCCATCATGCACATGCTTTTGTAGACCAATAGGATAGATCAGCGTAAGTCAAAGATTTCAAACCTCAGATTAGTATTTGTGTATACATTGGAGCAGTGCTCGTAAATAGGGCTCCCATCTGCTGGTTCTCCATGAGAATGAAATCCTGTCTCTTCACATTCTTTCAGAACTCTCATCCCACCTGGGTCGGATAATCTGAATATTCCATAGCTCCTGCATTCCATAATTAAGTGGTCCATGGAACTAAATGTGATCCACTCCATATAGATGCATAGAACCATTTGCTTTTGTTTTGCTTGTCATTTTATTAATCTAGGTTTTGATGGAGTACACATTGTTCAACAAAAAAAGGATCATAGCAAACAACCTGAATAAGTGTCTAATCATGCCAATACTTCTGCTGTCAAAGAGAATGATTATTTAGTATTTTTTATTTCTGCAAATGACACAGCTGATCTTATTTTCATGTTTTGAGATCTGAGTAGCTTTAGCTCTATAACCTTTCTAAATGTGAATATAGTTTGTTTGAAAAAAGGAAAAAAAAAAAAAAAAGATTCACTAGGTGAAATTGAATTGTGTCGATTCGTGATTTCACATAGACTGGTACATGAATTAGTATCTGATAATCAATGTCCTGTCTCCTATTGCTTTTGCCATCAAAGAGCTCAATTTGAAGATCCAAAAGTAAATTTGGATATTCAAGATTCATAATCTATAAATTACAACGTAGCAATTAGAAAATAAATGCAGAACAGAAAACAAGCATGATGTCAAGGCAGAAGGATGAGAGAAAATAATGAGTAGATGACAATTGTGCCAGGATTAAAATGTCCTCATTAAAATTTCTGTGAGGCAAATAGAAACCATTAGCAGGGGATATCTATGGAGACGTAAAAGGAAGCCATTTACAAAGAATTCGAAAATAAAAATGGCCCTGAATAATGATGGAGGCTAATAATATAATAGTGTAAGAATTACACACCTTGACACGTCAGTTGGAGCCATGACAATGGCAAATGCCTCAGGTACCATTGCCTGAAAGCATACAGAAAAGAATGAATTAGTCTAGTTTTAAATTCAACCACATTCGTATGCAAGGAAAACAGAGAGAAAAAAAAACTATATGAGAAGTAATAGTAACAAATAGGTACCAGGACCAATGGGTATTCAGCTCAAGAGTCCTGATTCCCCCAAAATACGGGAGAGGGCCAAAGAACTGAATCCTGTGCTTGTCAAGCCAAGAAGCAAAGCTAGTGATTCCAAGCATATATTATCAATTGGGTATATTTCATTTACTAAGAGTCAATTCTAAAGGTGCTAGTGTGAGAAAATTAAGTCCTTTTATCTTGACAAAACAGAAGAGTGGCCTTGCCAACCATACATCTTTATCAACCTATAATAGAAAGCAAATCATAAAATGATATCTTGACAAGGATTAGCCAATCTAAGCAGCTGCATCAGAGGAACTAGAATGAAAACTCTTCAATCCATGCTAACAGATCCTTAGGTCCGTCAATTACCTGATATGAATAGTGAGTGTGCAGGTCGATTGATGACATGAAACAGCTTTGAGAAGGATGTGTCTGAAAACAGAATACATTAAAATTTTAGTTTCAAGAAATTTTTAAACTTATAAACTTACAATACAATGTTCATAAAGAAACATTCAAGGCTATAAGGTGAAATAAATTAAGAGGAGAAAAAAAAACATACATGAATCCACCCAACAGGAAAAAGAGAACGTTCATTTTGTATGGCAAAAAACTCTTCCTCTTTAATAGCCTCGCACTGTTGTCAATGTTATTGGTTAATAAATTAGACAGCATAAACATCACCTCAAACAATTAAAAAGAGTAAGAGACTCAGGGAGCTCACAGTAGTGGAAGTTGATTCTTGTTTAGGTATTATTAGAGTGGTGACATAGTAGATTCCCTTCTCCTGATTGCATGAGAAGAGCATAGAAATGAGATTCAATATGAAATCATCACCTCAAATTTCCACATCTCAGACAGGTCCATATTGTGTGGAAACAATGCAAAAAATGTTCAGCGATGGCCAGTAATCCAAAAGATTATAACGAAGGTGTTGATCATTTTGTTGCCTACAGACTATCAAAATCAGCAAGAACATAGAGGATTGGAATTATGAATATAAGCGCCAGCTAAAGCAATATGACAACCAATGCGGAAAGTAGTTTAACTAGTGGAAAATCAGGAAGAATGTAGTCAGAAGTATGCATACACAATACAAGTGGTGGATTATACCCCAGCCAAGCTGGTACATGCCTAAGATTTAGTACATTTCTAAGTAGGCTGGCATTCCTAAGGTTTTTTTTTTTTTTTTTTTTTGGTGGGCAGGGGAGGTGGGTTTGTTATTCCACAAATCCTATTGACATTTAGTACAGTCCTTTACTTGTTGTAGGTGAGATATGCAATTGTAGAGACGTAGAAATTCTTTGAAGATAGCAAGGAGAGCAATAACAGTGAAATTTATAAATTAAAGGAGTTCATGAAGAACCTAATTAGAATAAAACCAAATGTGTGATGTGCAAACAAAAATAAATCATTAAGATTGTCGAAATGCCTAAAGACAAGCTAAATGCAACAACTCATAAGATTAAAAATAAAAGGCATTTCAGTTGCAGGAAGTCTGGACAAAAACATGAATCTTACAAGAAATGCACCAAGAACCCCGCATGTTTCAAGATCCTTCTCTGTGTTTTCTCTAGCAAGTTCAAGAAATTCCTCCATCAACCGTGCCGACTAATTAAAAAAAAAAAAACCACACGATCATTAACTTGCCATCATACAAAGAACTCTGGCATGATCTAGTTCTAGTAAACAGAAAATGCTGCAACAATATTGAACACAGTGTAATATACAAGAAAAACATAGCAATAATGAAAAGACCACTTGTGCATGGAAGGAAAGTTCCATTAACCTTACTATGTGTACATCTTGGAAGACATTGGATGCTGATGGTTGATTGCATGTGCTTTTATCTGAATCAGCAACTGGTATGAGAGAAACACGAGCATGTTTAGGTGCTTTTGCTACACATGAGAGTATAGGACAAGGAGAAGACTGAGTAACAGTGTGAACGGTGATATGCTGACATTTGCTGTCTGTCTGAACCATGTTTTGGCAGAGAGATTGAAGTGTTTCTGTACAAAGAGGGGCTAGAATCCAATGAATACAAAGATGCAAGTCAGATTCATCCTCATCGATGATATGGTATACGAAAATAAAACATATTTTGAACATTTTGCAAATTCTATCAAGGAAAGGGAACTAAAAAATCTTTAAGACTAGAGAACTGAATTCGATGGGAGAACACAACTACGCACGATGGTTTAGAGTTCCATATGTGTCTTCCGAGAAATCAGTATTTATCAGGCAATTAAGAAACAAAAGGGAACAGCAAGAAACGAGGTTTAGAAGATTCATACCTGAAACATTTGTTGCGTCTCTGTTTGCTTTGGTTATATGCCTTTCGAATCGATCGAACAGGCAAAAAAGAAGAAAAATGCCACTGATGGGCTATCTTTAAAGGGAGAATTCAATTGCCACAGAAGGAATACTTTTCTGGGTTTCTGACCTAAAGAAAGAGGGACAAGAAGGAAGAAGGAAAGCAACCAAAGCATCCATGGGCGTGTTTAGCGTGGAGGCTCTTGGCTGGCCCCGCGGTTCCAATTTCGAGAATATCGAAAGTACACTGAATAATTCATTTTGGAACTAAACATTTAGATGTGAAAACATATAAATTCAATCTAATTAAAATATGCATATTTGTATTAGCTCTAACTAGTTTTTTTATTCGTGCTAGAACATGTAACATAAAATTGTTTTTTTAAAAATTATTTTAGGTCAATGTTTCTGTTGTATTATATATAGATATATTTATATATATCAAATCAAAATTAATAAAAATTCATTTAATTTTATAATTTTTTAATTAAAACTTTATATTTTACTGATTATTTTTTATATTTTTTATACATTTTTATTAAAAATATTATTTATTTATCTCTATGCACAAACTAAAAAAATTATAATAATATAAAAAATATCAAAATCAATAGATTCTTAGCTAAAAACTTATTTTGTAAATTATTTTTTAAAATATTTTTTTATCTTAAAATTTTTTATTAAAAAATTAGAGAAAAAAGAATCAAAGTGACAAAAAAAAGACCAAAATCAAATAAAAATATTTACTGATTAAAAAATTTATCGCTACCCGATGTCGGACGGAATTCTAAAAAAAAATCTCTAATATCTCTTTAGTTTAAGATTTATTTTTATTTACATAATTATTTTACGAGTTTGGAGTCGTCACTCTAGTATTGAAAGAAATAAAAAATCTAAAATGGGCACTAGTTCAAAGATTCTATGGTAAGGAGTTGATTACGCTTATGAGAAGATATTTAATCACCCAAAAGCGCCCTTTCCGAGAAAGTTACCATGTCTAGTCTAGCTCTAAATCTATCTCCTAAAGTGTTTTATTTTTGTCAAATTATTTTTCAATTTAAAACTCTAATTTTTCAAGTCCTTTATTTCAAGCCAAATTAAGTTTCTTATTTTTTAGCGTGGCATCGTATTGAAACGATTATCGGACCCCTTCGTCGAGAGACACGTTGGTTGAAACATCGGATCCACTTGTTTGAGTCTCGACACAACCAAGTGTGTCGGAAAACACTTGTTTATTACAATGATTTTTTTTTTTTAACTAACAACAGTCTCTATTAGATAGGAGACTCGTTAAAGTTTTTATTTACTTTTTTTTTATCTTTCGTTCTTTTTATTTTTATTTTTATTTTTATATTTAGTGGAAGACTCGTCATTGGTCCCTAAAGAATTAGGAGACTTGACGAGTCCACCACCCGTTACTTACTAAACCTAATTATTAAACAAATAAGTTAGAAGTTACACTAATTAAATAAATGAAAGAAAATTCAAATACTGAAATTTAAATTAATAACATGCATAAAATAAATTCAAAATTAAAATTACATTAATTAAAATAATTACAACAATTAACATATTAAATTCTAAATTAACATAAACTAACAAACATGCATAAAATAGACTCAAGATTAAATTTACATTAAAAATAATTAAAGATCATTTAACATCTAAATAAAAAAAATGGAATAACATGCATAAAAATAAATTTTAAAATTTATTATTATTATTATTATTATTATTATTATATATTTTTAATTTGGGTTGGGTTGGAATTAATCTAGCCCAAAAGGAAAATTTCGAGTCGGCTGGATCGATCCAGCTCTCGCCACATGCGGGTTGGGCATACTTCTAAAAACAAAACCTTAACCCAAAAACATAACCCAAACAATATTTTCAAAAGTTTTAGATCAAAAACCCAATTTTAATTTGTCCTTTCTCTTCCTCTCTTTCCCGTTTTCTCTTCCTTCTTTCCTTTTTCCTTTTTTTTTTTCTCTTCCTTTTACTTCCCTCTTCTTTCTCTTCTCTTTCCTTTTCCCCTTTTCTTCTTCTTCTTTCTCTCTCTTGTCGAAGCTGCCATGGACGAACCGAGTGTGGTGGTTCGTCCATGGCCACCCGATTCCTTCCTTTTTTCTTTTATTCCTTTCTCCTTTCCTTTCTTCCTTCCTAAACCTCGTAATTTCTCTCTAGATCGAAAACCTCAAATCAATTTTTCTTCAAAAATCCTCAATTTGGTCGAACCCTAAGTTTTGATTTTTCTTCAATTTTTTGTTCAAATGGGTCAAATTGACTTAATTTCTCTTTAAATCAAATGAATTCAAACCCTTTATGATTCAAATTTTTGAAAACCCCTAAATCAATTTTTCCAAACAAAATCGGGAACCCTAAGTTTTAATTGAAATCAATTCGGTTTCAATTTGAGGTTTAAACCCCAAATTGAAACTCTAATAGACTTTAATTGAGTTTAATTCGTGTTTCTCAACTCCAATTTTAAACCAATTTCCGAAAAGCCCAAATTTCAACACTAACCTAAATCGATAGTCAAAAAAATCCGAATTTAAAGAAAATTAAAGAGGTTACCTATAAGAATTGAGTTGAGGATGATGATGGATTGCTTGCTTTAAAAAAAAGGTAAAGTCTCTTTCTTTCTTTCTTGTTTTATTTTTGGATTTTGTTCTTCTTTTTTAGCTACTATCGGTTTTGTTTTTTTTTTTTTAGCTTGGGTTTTCTCTTCCAATTTCTCGCCCCTTATTGTGTTTATTGCTTTGTGTGTATATATGTGTGTGTGTGTGTGTGTGTGTGTGTGTGAAATACTGGCTTGGTTCTCCACCATAATGGTGTGAGATTTTTCTCGAGGACATCAAGTGGGGGTTGGATGGGATTAAGTTTGTGGGCTGTGTAGTGATGAGACTACCGGAGATTGGCTTGGGGAAAGTGGATTGTGGGCTATACGGGGTAGGCGGCGGGAGGGGGTTGGATGATGATGGAGCTGCTAGAATTTGCAGCGAGTAGGGTGGTCGGCAAGTAGAGTGGAATGTCGAGATTGTTGACCATGGAGGGGAGATTGGCGACTACAAGTTGAGGGAATTAATTCGTCTCTGAAGCCGAAATTCAAGGCTAAAACTAGGAACCAAATTGGTTCCCAATAAAATAGGATTGTAGTAACTCGGAACCAAAACATGTTTAAGAGAAAATAGGATTTTCAAAATCCCGAAACTAGTTTCTAGGCGAGAGTGGGCAACCGGTCGCCCACTCCTCCGCAATTTTATAATTTTTCTTTGCTCGTTTTTTTGTAATTTTTGCATTTTGGTCCCTATAAATTATTATTAGGTCAACTTGATCCCTATGCAATGTAATCTGATCCTTGAACTTTGAATGATTCAATTGTATCCCCAATGACTGTAATTATTTTGAATTTAATGCAATTGCATTCTTGAATATTAAATTCACATTATTTTTGTATTTTGTATTTTTTCTTTTTTTTTCCTTTTCTTTTTGCAAATTATTAAGTAAAATGAAATAAATAAAAATAACAACACCGATTAAGATAAGAAAATAAAATAAAAAAACTTAAAAATGAAATAAAAGAAAAAAAAACCAATTAAAAATAAAAAAGCCCGAAATTTTGGTTATGACAAAAATAATATTTAAAAAAAAGAGACTAAAGTATAATGTCATAAAAAAATTTATAATAAATATTTAAAAAATATTTAAAAACTAAAAAAATAACACCGCACGAGTGAAATGAATAATATATCTAATTACGGATGAATAGCACAAATAAATCCGAATGAACGAGTATTTTAAATAATGTAATAAATTGTAATTATATGTTTTATTTTAGTTTTTTTGTAATTTCAGATTTTTGCTCTTTTATTTATTTATGCAGATTTCTTTTAATTTATTTTTTCGGAATCTTTAATGGAATTTTCTTTTTCATGAAATAAGAGGCTTGAATTAATATATTACTGTCGATCAAAACATAGTCTAATACGGTGAAATGAAGGATAATGTTATGGATTTGTTGATGGAAATGGCAGCAGATGTATAATTTTCCATGGAGAGTTAATTATGAAAATTTTTTTTTCTTTGTTCCTTTTTCTAAAAACTAACATGTCAAAAATTTTGAATAAACACTTTATCCACAGGCTTTTCCTCTTGCAAATTGCTCTTTGGGCATGAGTTTTGACTTTAATAATCATCAACCCTATCTTTCATTTTATATTATTACATCGGTTATAAACCCTCAATTGTTCAACCTTTAGAAATTAAAAAAAAATTTCATGGTCATGCCCTTTCTTTATTTGAGACTCATATTCTTTATATAGGCAGTAGTGAAGTTTTTTGTACGGTCGAATCAACAAGAATGTCTTTTTTTCTTAAAGTTTGTAGCATGGCCTATAAGTTTTGATATTTTATTATCATTGTGTTTAAAGTTAGTAGCAATGTTAATATGATTGTGACGGAAATGATGATCTGATTGATATTATCATTATCCTTCGTTTAAGAGAGTAATTTTTTTTTTTTTTAATTCTCGGAGCGTTTAAAGATAATAAGATTCCAATCTTTTTTCTCTTAGAAAAGGCCCATTAGTGCTCTTTAGGTATTTTAGGCCTGCTTAACGAGCTAGTCCTTTTTTTACGAGTTGTGGATTTCGATTGGGCCTAGACCTCTGGTAGTATTGGACAAAAGCTTTCCCATTAATTATTATTATTATCGTTATTTTTTTTAGAATGTGTTACGTTAATGTTATTTGACTTACTTCACTATTGAGTCAATTTTGAGTATTGTCATACTAACCAGAAAACAAAAGAAATTTATTTTAATTAGATAAAGGCTTTAGAGTAACATATTCTATTTATTTGTATTTGCAAGAATAGTTTTTGGTAGGACAAAGGCTTTTGAGTTTTGGGACTTCAGAACAAAAGATGAAGGAATCATCATCTATAGGATAGATAATGCTCTTGTTACCTCACCCTTCACTTTCTTTATCCTACGGGGAGCATTTTTTTGTCTACAACCTCAGTTTTTATAAGTTTGTCCCTAGTATGACTCCATTACTGCCCCATCTATCTATGTCTCTTATCTGTTCCAGTACATCCACAAGAAAGCTAACCTTCAAGTTAATTCCATCAAACATTCCTTCTGCCTATTCTCTCTGCAGGTCTTGTAGGAAATTAAAGAGTCCCATTTTGCAGCCTTAAAGCTACATATGCTCTTGACTCCCACTCCAGGTCATTAATTCCCCTCTCTACATCTATGGTTTCATGAGTTATATACACTACGAATTCTTGAAATTTTATTGTGCTGAAGGTTCAGTCATCATGGCTGCAGGTTTTTGCGTTTAGTAGCTAGTCTTGGCCATATTGCCCATTTCATCAAACAAGGAGCTAACTAGTTTTATGTCATCCACGTACGTCCATGGATAAGGACTAGAGTAAAGCTAGTCTTAACTTCTATTTGACTCTCATTTTTATTTATTATTTATTGGCCATTTTTTGTTTTAAAAACTCATCAAACATGGTGAGTGATGTCTGCAGTGATGGGGTCACCGAGTATGAAGGCGGCGACATAGTTGCCCCCTTTGAAACAGTCGTCAATCCAATTTCTATTTTCCTTTTTCCAGCCGAGTCTGCATATGACCAATTCTACAGGGCTCCTCATTAAACAAGGTTCATAATTTTTTTTTCTTTTTCTTTTTTGTCGTTGTTCCATTTGACAGGTGGAATAGAAGAGGACCTAAAGAAAAACCATGGTAGGAAAATTTGGAAAGTGCATGATGCTATGCTGTAGAAGCCAGGTGTCGGTAAGATCTTAAAGTTCTGCATTTTTTAGACCAAGTATTTCTCCTTCTTAAGTCGTTGGCTTTTATGATAATTAATGTTCAAGTGGTTTTACCTGACAACAATTAATTAGTTTAGATATGGAAGAAGACTATATATGCTGCTTCTTTTTTTTTTAATTAAAAAATCCCTTGGACTTTGCAGAAGGACATAACAATAATAAAATTGAAAACAAGTACGATATACTAATTAGAATATTAAAGGAAAGAAAAGAAGTATCGTAAAAAAGAAAAACTATCGATATATCCTTACATAAAGCACATTTTTTCAATCGAAATTGTATAGAAAAAATCAATCAATCATAATCCTTAGTTTTACCAATTATCTAATATGCACATTCATTAATTTTTTTCCATTAAATTTAACGGTAACATGCATTATATATGATAGCTTCGTTATGGATTGATTTTAATTAATTTTTTTAAAAGGTGCATAAAATAAGCAAATAAATGTTCTAAAATACGAAAAATTTAACAAAAAAAATTTAAAGTATGGAGAAATTAAAATTATGATTGATTTATTTCTTTATACAAGAATACAATTGAAAAAACGAATAATGAATGACGATACATTTATAATATATATTTTTTTTAATATTTTACAAAGGGAGGAGGAACTGACGGAAAAGTCAATTCACATCCATGAAAGTTAGCACTAATAGACTTGTAGTTGTCACTGCTAAAAGAAAAGCCAATAAGCATAATTCTTGACCACTTTTTTTCAATAGTGGGAGATGATGCAATTGCCCCAGTTGAGAGGGGAGCTTTATCAAACAAAACTCCTCGTCAATAAAGGTAATTGAACTGAAGACCTCTCACAGAAAATTGATTTCCAAGGCAGGACTTTGTTGACCGACTGGTCGTCCTCCTCTCTTTTTTTCACCTAAAAATGTCAAGAAATGAAATCCACTCAGGTTGTGGTCCTTTTCTTGATCAGGCTGGTTGCGTACTTGGACATTTATATATCCATACTCTTTATAAATCTGTCGGTTCCAATGTCCTAAGGAAACCATCTCTGAGTGTTTTCTTAGAAGCACTTCATTGTTAATGGATGTTTTTAATAAATTGGATTGAAAAAAAAAGATTTTTAAATTTTTAAATTTTGGGTTTTTTTATGCATTAATTAAAATTTGAATAATATATATATAAATGCATTATTGATGAAATTTCCTTTTTTTAGGAAAAAAAATGCTTGATTAGTGAATTTCTAGGTATTAATTCTTTTTCTTTCTTTTTTTTCACTCCTCTCTTCCCATATACTTGACCTGTCGCTTTATTTTAAAAAATTTTTCCCTTTATTTTAAAAGGCACCAATAAAAATTAATTTGATTTCATGTTATTGTTGTAATTTCGGATAAAAGTCAAACAGATATTAAAATTTATGAATCAATACGCACAATATGATATTTTAACACTACAACCACGCTAAATTAAAATTTGATTTTCCCACGAAAATATATTACTCAAAATGAATTCTTTTTTTCTTTTATATTTCTCACTCTCCTTTTTTTAATATTTTGATTTCTTATTTCTTTCCTTTTGTAAAACACTGTTATTAGAAATAATTATACACCTTTTTTTCTTAATTTCTTATATCAGGTACTTATATATATATATATGTTTAGCGAAAAATATTAAAATTTGTTAAAAAAAAATAGTAATTAAACATTAAAAAAATAACAAGAGAAAACTCTAAAAATACACACCGGTCGTTGGATTAATGAAGCCCACAATTAAATCTCATTTTAAGATTATTATCCAACAACTAATGTGAAGAAAGGAAAAAAAAAAAAACCCAGTAAACTTTATCCTCTCTTCTCTAAAAGAAAGAAATCAATGTACATTTGTCGCTGGTACCACGCGTCCGCAATCATACGTGGACAAGTCGACTTGCCTACCGTGACTTCCGCTAGCCATTCCAAAACAATTTGTTTCCCTATGTGCCGCCTCCTTCATCGAAGAGGTCAGAAACCGCAGGATCATTCACTTTTTTACATGATGAACGGTCGCAAAAATCCCTTGCCTCATCTCTTCAGATTCCATAACGCTCTACATCATGGCTCTTGTAAGAGAAAACAAAAGTTAGAAAAATATGAAAAGACGAAAGTTGTTGGTTTTTTACCGTAAGATAAAGCGTTCCATGTTGCTGTATGATGTCAAAACACAATCCTTGAATCACTAAACTTCCTTTTATAACAACCTTTTCATTTTCTAGTCTTTTGGATATTCCATTGGTTAGTTTAATTTACAGAGTCAATTGATGTTATTTGATTAAATTATTATTTTTATGAATACATCCAGATGAAAACATAATGTAAATATAAAAAAAAGTAGTCCGAAAATATTTTAGAAAAAGGTAAAAAGAAGGTAGTAATACACGTGGAGTAAAATCTAAGGTTTCCTCTCTCTATATATGGAACGACTGGTTAAGGTAGCACGCTCTAGGAAGCAGTTTTGTGAACTGGTGCTTAGGTCGCTAATTCTCCCACACAAAGCAGACGAAGAATCTTAGAGAGAGAGAGAGAGAAAAAAAAGGTCCGTAGCAGATGTTTCTTTGAGTATATGCACCGATCCCGATTCATCATATTGTGAAATTAGAAACTGTTGCAGATTTTGTTCCTTCTTTTCTTCTTCTATTATTTTCCACTCAATTCCTTCTTTTACAAGTTCATTCAGCTTGTGTTGTGACTGTGATCTTGTTTTGATCATAGATATTACTTTTGCTCTCTCTCTCTCTTCTCTTGATTTCTTTCATGCATGACATGGATTTGTGGAAAACAAAGGAAATGAATCAAGAAATATTACCGTTATTTGATCTGTTACTGATAATGATCTAATTACTAGGTATATATTTAAGTGTCAGAATATTTATCAATCATGCGTTTAGTGTTTCATTATGGATCCGATCCGGTTATGTGTGTTAAAACTAATTCAAACGGATAAAATAAATGTGTTGGTTAATTTATTTCTTTAATATTTATCGTTTAATTGGAATTAACAGAAGGAAGAAGACATGGCAAACGATTCATACGAGGATGCCATTGCAGGACTGAGCAAGCTTCTCAGGTATCGCGTACCGATCATTAATTTCCTTCGTTAAATTCCAGACAGAAAACTAGAGATTCACATGCAGAATACTAGTAATTATTTTCATGACCTTTTCTGTCATTTTCTTTCCTCACCCCTTCTGGAGTAAAATCCTTCCATATTTGACTTTGATGGACGCGTATTTTGATTAGAGTCGTACACATTGGTAAATTCTACGTGTGGGGCCCAGAAAGGACCACGAATGGATTTAACTGACTGTTTTCTTCTTTTTTGATCTGAGCTCGGTTACAGTGAAAAAGCTGACCTCGGGAGCGTAGCCGCCGCAAAGATCAAGCAGATAACGACCGAGTTAGAGGCGGTCGATTCGAAGAAATTTGACCCGGTCGAGCGTATAAAAACCGGATTTGTCCACTTCAAGACGGAGAAATATCAGTGCGGTTTTTTAGCTTCTTCTTTTTTGTTGTTCGAATATCATTATCATTATTATTATTATTATTATTATTATTATTTATTCGTTACTCTTCCGTTCTGCTGCTAAAGGACCTAACTGCCATCTTTATGTGTTTGTCTGATCATTATTGTTTCCACTTTATCTCCTCACGAAAACAAAAATTACGGTGGTCTTATCAGGTGATAAGCACATAAGCAGCCGCTGTTTATGTGCTGTGGCTGAAATTGCTTTATCTTGGCCTGAAAATGGGCTGCTTTCACAGATCGCCTTGAAAAGGTGGTTGCAAATTGCAATATAAGTAAGGGCACATTTTGGCTAATAATCACATGAATATGCCTTTTTCAGGAAGAATCCAGACTTGTACGGTGCCCTTGCTAAAGGCCAGAGTCCAAAGGTGAGTGACTATGGAGTATTATTTTTGTTTTTAAGAAAATGTAGTGTTGTATGCTTGTTTTAATTTTTAATTTTTAATTTTTAATTTTTTTTAATAAAATGTAGTATTGTATACATATTTTAGTATCAAAATTTCCACTGTCCTGTTAATAGAAAAATGTTACTAGTAATGCGTATAGTTTGGTGAACCAGCACACCATTACCTAACCGAAGGTTAGCATTGTAAGGTCTTCCAAATCTAGAATGCCAAATTTGACCTGGGACATTGGAAAATAATGCAACACAGTCTAATTATATATGCTTAGTTGCACCTATCCTTTGAGGGGTACCTCGGATTGTCAAAAAGTTTATTTCTCGACTTGAAATTTGATGTCCAAAAATGCTATCTATATCTACAGTCATTGGATTTGAAATAAGAGAAGCTTATGGTAAATTTCTCAGAAGCATTCAACAAAGTTCCAAAATATTCCAAACTTAGGTTAATTAATTAGCAATATGAAAACAGTAATATATAAATATATAATTTCAGAGATATATATAGCGAGAACGGTTATTGACCCTCTCCCATTGGAGGCTTTGAAAAAAAATAAGGTTTTGATATGAGAAAGAAAAGTTCAACCGTAGATAGGCTACTCCTTTGGTAGTCATGCTTGGCTTGCTTGCCGGTGTTTTCTATATAATTGTCTTCTAGTTAATTACCTAGCTAATCGGGTGTGGTGGGTTAACAACTTTGCAAATTGCAATGTTGCATGATGAGGACTCTTTATGTTTTCATTTATTTTATCATTTCAATTCCACAGTCACTGCGAGACATAGACTATGTTAATTGAATACTTTATTAAATGCAGTTTATGGTGTTCGCGTGCTCTGATTCGCGGGTTTGCCCTTCCCACATCCTCAATTTTCAACCAGGGGAGGCCTTTATGGTGCGAAACATCGCCAACATGGTCCCACCTTATGACCAGGTTTGCTTAACACTTAAATTTAAATATATGCAATGTACCTCCCGTGATTACTAATTACTTTATTTTGGGTCTGTTTAGTCTGACTTCCTTGATTAGCGATCAACTCATCACGTGGTGGACAGAGGAAGTAGTAGATTTATAGACCCCATTACTAAAATAAAAAGAAATTCTCAATAAAAAATAAAATAAAAATAGAGAGGTACATGGACAAATCACAGAGTAGCATCTTTTCATGGTAGGTAGTACTGTTATATAATCCAATAATGATTAAAAGTACAATAATTTAATTTGTAAAACCTTCCGTGTTTTAATTAAATGACATGAGTTATTTAAATGTGTTCTAAATAATGAAACATCCATTTTACTTCTTTTTCATATAAGTAGCATGCATTCATCTGAATAGATATTAATTAATTTTTAAAAATTTTAAAATAAATTTGCATACAGTTTAGTGATGTTTTTGTCGAAATAAGATGAGTAAGATCAGGAATATGAATCTAAACTTCTAAAGTACAACTGTTTCTTTTGATGAAAAAAAAAAGATACAATTATTTCCATTAATATTTTTTTAATTATCCATTTTGCACTTTTGTTTGACATAAGTTTTCTCGTGCAGACAAAATATTCTGGTGTGGGGGCAGCCATTGAGTATGCTGTGTTGCATTTGAAGGTCAAATACACCATCCTTGCTTTCTGAACCTACCATTGTTATTTACATTGTTGTTTTTCTATTTATTAACACTACATCATTTGATCATTTTTTTATTATTATTGTTTGATCTCGGTCCTATTTTGTTCTGGTGGGATAAGGACGACCAGTGAGGCACACCCACAACAATCTAAAGTGCAAAGTTTCGGCAAATGCCTACTTTATGTTACCAAATCATTTTATTTTCTATTGTAAATTACATAAATCTTCCGACATATTGTGATATTGCGAACATAGTCCAAGAGGTTTTGGGAGTTCACGGAAAAACAACATTTACCACTTTTAAAGAACTTATTACCCATATTTATTAGTGCACTACGAAAATTTTACTTTATTGCCTACGCCAAAAAGCATGGGACTGGGAAAGTCACCCTCTTTTTATATCATTTCCTTCTTCTCATTATGTTTCTTTTTGGAGTTTAGGTGGAAAACATTGTAGTCATTGGTCACAGCTGTTGTGGTGGTATAAAGGGTCTCATGTCTATCCCAGATGACGGGTCCACTGCTAGGTAAGCATTCGACCATATATGATATATTTAAATACCATTTGCATTAATATAATTATTTCTTTGTTTAATTCCTTAGAAGTTGAATAATTTAAATATACAATCAAAGTAAATTAACATGTAGGGTACTATAATTTAAACATTTCCAATATTTTGGGATGGCAATCTCCAATATGATATTGTTGTTTATTTTTTTAATGATTGAAAAACTGAACAAAGAAGCCATAAGAAAATATTATTCTAAAAAAAGAAGCTGTAAAAAAAAAAAAAAAAGGTTGGCTGTTCAGAGTATCAAGTTGGTTATTTGGGATGTTCCTGCTCAGAGCTTGTTTATTGGTTTGTTCGGGGGTACACAACCCATCCTAAAGTTCCTTTTAGCTTCTGTATTTATCTATTTATTAAAAAAAGCAATGAGGAGAGGAGGAAACGATTGTGTTTTTCAGTGCTACAGAGATAAGTGGGCGAAAAGGCATATGCTTCCAACACAACTTTTGAACATGCTAAATAAATGTTTTTCTATTCAGTAAGCCCAGCACATGTGAATTTCCTTTATATATATATATATATATATATATATATATATATATATATATGTTGAATTATTGATAAACGATCTGGTTTCAAATAAATTTTTTATCCATATATAAAGTTTCAATTTAAAATTATATTTATTAAAAAAATAAAATTTATCATTTATTTTATTATTAAAAAAAAGGTAATAAAGCCATTGGAGAAAAGAATTACGCTCTAGTTGAATTATAAATAAAACTATAGAGTTAATTTAGTATTTTCGAGAGTATATAATTTGTAGTAGTATTTTTTCCAATATCAGACCATATTTTATGTATGCTTCCGGACCCACATGTTAAAACTCGAGGAGTTGAATCAACCAGTTGCTAGTGATAATTAAGTTTTGCTTCTTTCCCTTCATTTTTCAAATACTAAGAACTGTGAAATAACCGGTGTGTTGCCACTTTAGAAGCCTGGTAGTGATTATTAAGGTTGTTCTGAACATTTTTGGAAGTAGATCAAAGTCAAAAAGAATTATGGCTGTGCAAACCAACTGACTAACCAGCATTTTTTTTCCTCCTCTGGTTTATAAATATGCAGTGACTTCATAGAAAATTGGGTGAAGATCTGTTCAGCTGCCAAGTCCAAGGTGGCAACAAAATCCGACAAGTTAAGTTTCGAAGAGCAATGCCACAACTGCGAGAAGGCAAGTTAGACCAACTACAATATTTAATCTCGTATATTAATTAGTTTTTCTGCAAAAAGAAAATCCTTACTGAAAACTATAGTAATTTTCAAGAATAAGCAATCAGTTCTTAAAGGTTTCACTTTAATTTACTACAAGGACCATGGATGGTTCTAATAATGCTCACTGACATAGTGCAGGAGGCTGTCAATGTATCACTGGGAAACCTACTGACATATCCATTTGTGAGAGAGGCCGTGGTGAATAATACTGTATCGCTGAAGGGTGCACACTACGATTTTGTCAAGGGAACCTTCGAGCTATGGGATCTGGATTTCACAATTTCACCGTCCATTGCTGTCTGAGCTTACTTCCAATGCATGTTGTATATGTCGTATTGAATAATATTTCACAATATGAAACTCTGGCTGGCTGAGTTTTAAATTTTAGTCTCTGTTCATTTCCTAATTTTCGAATCTTGTTTCTCTATAAATTTTGTACACATGATGATCAATAAACTTCATTGGCTGGTGCCATTAGCAATCCATCTTGTGTTGGCGAAATGCTCACTTCTCTCTCTAACGCCCTATATATATATATATATATATATATATATATATCATAATGGTTTCACATTATCTTATCTTATAAATCCATCATGGGTTTATGACAGTGCACATAAACAATATACTCTTCTTTCTCGAACATATTCTCCTTTCCTTTTTATTTATATCTGTCTCTAAGTTTGTCTAAGTTTGTCTTATCAAAATTTTAAGGCATCTTTTAGTTATCAAGAAAGCTTATTGTACCATAAAAACATTAATTATATACCTTTTATTTTGTTTAGTACGTTATTTCAAAAGTGTATAAAAAATATTTGAATTATATTTTTCATAACAATTTTTGCACGAGAATCATTTTTCATTCAAGATTCCGAATTCATTTGACATGACATGACATGTAAGATGACATCTTAGATAAAAATTCATATAGGATGACATATAGATAACAATTATAATTCAATTAGAATGGACGACATGTCACCCACCTATTTATTCAAAACCAATTCCTAAAACTAACCAACCTAATTCAATTCAATTCTAAAAAAACCTAATCCCTAATCTTCTTCTCTTCTTTGCTTAACAAACAAGCACTCCTATCTTTTTCTCTTCTTTGTGCACGACGAACAAAAAACCCAATCTTCTTCGCTTCTTCTCTCTTTCAATCCGCCCTTTTTCTCCTCACAAAATTTCCAAATCAAAACCCACACTCGCATTTCCATACCTCTCGCGAAACCTACGAATCTTCAACAAGTATCTATTCCCTTACGAATCTTCAACTATAAGTTTCTCTCTCTCTATCTCAACTGGTTTTCTTCTCATTTTTTATGGGTTTTCTCATTTATGTTTTTTTTTATGATTCTAGGTTTTGGAGCCTCCTTTGCCAATGTAAATTCTTCAATTACACTATGATGGATCAACTGCATTGTGATGGATTAAAACCCATACCTGCATTACTCACACTTGAATTAGCATAATTATTTTTTTTATTATATTAAGTTTATATTTACGTAGTTTTTATTTATTTGTTCTTTTGGTATTTCGTCCATACGATGGCTAAGACATTCAAGTTGTATTTTCACATTGGTATGGTCTTCAATAGTCTAAACCCAATTAATTACGTTGGCGAGGTTATGGTTGAATCATGTAAGTGGTCGAAAGATCCCGATTATATGACATTAAAAGACCTCAACGATGTGATTATTGAATGTGGATATAAAACACCTAAGGTTATGGTATTTTCTTTATCCGTAGACTCATTATTTTTCCCTCGATTGGCGGCCCCTTTACTAGTCCTAACACCACCATATTTTTCTTCAACATATTGTTCTTATTTCCACATAATGATATAGTGCACAATCAACACTCATACATATTCATATAATTCAACCAACACTAAATATAACATGCACTTAACAAACACACTTACTAACAATAATTAGACGTGCACATTCAAAAAATTTAAACACTTATATGTTGATAATGTTATTGGTGTTTGAGTTTGTGTGTACTAGTTAAGTTCACTAAGTCAAATTACTTTGATACCAACTTTGTAACACGTTCAGCCTAAAGAAGACTAAAAGTGTTATAGCTAGCCTCGTACTCGTAAGATGCAAGGCTAAGCCCGTATCCTTTATTTCGTGTATGAAATATAATGCACAACGAAAAAACTTTGGTTTAAAGTTTAAGGCAATCATTTGTTTTAACATATTAAAAAACATTTCATTAACCATCAAAATACATTTATAAATCAACATATCCAAATAGTCCAAATGTGACATTAGGTTACGAACCAAAAATAGCTAACATTTAAACATAAACTTGACCGAACTTAGGTAGTATTAAGCCTTTAACTTTAAACCTATACATATAGTACACATTTGGCAAACTCGACTCTTCTTGATAGCATCCTCTTCATTTTTACACCTACACCATAAGCTAAAGCTTAAGTGTAATATGCATGAATACAAGTAAATTCATTTTCCATGATGCTTGAAATACATTTTTAATCTTTCGAGCACACCTCGTTGAATGTATATATATTTAGCACTCAAGAAAACTCGTCCTTGTAAAAACCATAACAACACTAGACACTTTTCATTCATATTTCTCTCAAAAGGTTGATCATTCTCCTTATAAGCCATCTTGAATATGTCTAGCCATGAACATTGAAACCATAAACATGAACATGACCTTTTTTTGATTTCTTGAAATCATGATAAAACATTTTCATGATATGAATGCCATTATAACATAATTCTCAACTAAATACATGAACATAAATCAAGTAGCATTAAGCAACTCATGAAGTCGAAACTAACATGTGAAACAAAATCATATAACATGAATTCAATATATAAATGAATCCCTCCATGATTTCTCAAGTGTTCCAATCATCAATTAAACACCTAAACACTTAACCAAGTGATATCAATTAATCATATAACCCAAAATCATCAAGTAGCACCAAAAGTGTTCAATCAACTAATAATCATATGAGTACACAACTAAGTGACATCAAGCAACTACATAAGCTGAAACCACCATATGATATCTCCCAAGTTCATTCATTCAATAAACAACTCTTTAATTTTCAATCATCCAACAAACATATGAATAAATATTCATATAATCTCGTAAGTGTTCGGTCACCAATTGACATATAGATTCAAACCAAATAACCTCAAGTAGTACTTAGCTGAATCCTTCAAACGACATCATAAGTAGACAATCATCAAGTAAACACATAACACAAGGCCAAATAACATTTATGTTCAATCATCACTCAAATACATAATATCAATATCTTGAGGTATAGTTAGGATTATTCTTACTTATCATCAATAGACACATGAGCATAACCTAAAGTAAATACCTCATCATCAATTGATTAATCATCAAGTGGACACCTAACACAAAGCCTACAACATCTATGTTCAATCATCAATCAAATACATAACATTTATATCTTATGATGTAATTGAGATTACACTTATCTTAGGATTTGATTGTTGTAGAAATCATTTTAAAAGCTCTTAAAATTTCTCTTTCTTTACGTGTTGTTACTCTCGACCAAATTGCCTAAAATTTCTCTTCCTCTCGACCATACTCACTCTTAGCCAACTCTCTCTTTCTCTCGGCTAGAATTGATTTCTTAGTGGATTTGGTTTTCTCTCTTATTGATTCTATGTTTTTCAAGGCTAAAATATCACCAAAATGACTTAAAAACTCTTCTCCTTTTCTTTTTCTCTACTTAAGGATCAAAGAACCCAAAATTAGCTAACTTAGAAGGATCAAAGAACCCAAAATTAGCTAACTTAGAAGGATCAAATAACCCAAAAATTACCACTTGTATAGTCACTTAACTAATAGAATTTTCTAGATTAAATACTTGATTAAGATATTTTTCTTAAGTTAGCATATGTATAGGAGATCCATCAATCTTTATTTTTATTTTAATACATACATGGAACACTTGGATCAAGCTATGTCTCTAAGTCCTCTAAGTATGAACTAGTCGCTTTACTTTATCACTTAATTCACTTAAGCCCTCAATCTTTTAATTGTCACACTAAGGTCCATTAATCATTCACACACTCACAACACTTAGTAGCATGAACTTGCAAAGCTAAACTTTTGTTAATGGAAACATAAAGTATAACTCCAATGCAAACACAAAGTATAACACCAAAGCATAACATTCACATACTTTAACAAGTAAACTTACATGCATGCATAAGAATGTTTAAACCCATGGGTATTACTTGACACCACTTATGGCTCGTCACCTCTTAAATGTTTTCCTTTTTTATTTTAGAATGAGAAAATAGGTCTTCGATCGGGATAATTCCCAAATCACTCGATCAATTAATTTCTAATCAAAAGATAAAGACACTCAAATAAGCATAAACACACAACATAGAAAAACTAGATATTGACTTTTTGAGATGCGACTTACCTCGGTTTGGACACGGTAGCGGTGATCTTGATCTTACTTATCGGTAACCAATATCTTATTTAGGATCCTATATAGACTAGTCATTTGGGTTTCCTAGTTATCCCAATACTAGGTGATGACTCTTTTTCTATTTTCTTATTTTCCAAAGCTCATTGGGCTCTAACGTCGTACCTTACGACAACTCGTTACTATCGTTATCTTTCTTATAACTTACAACCAAATTCAATGCTATGTATTTTTTCTCGCTCACTCTCTTTTATTTTAAGGTCATTGACTTTTTTCTTCATGAGCAATGAGCTATCCAATGAATTCATCAAAGTTAAGCATTTTCGGATTTTTCACCTCTCTTATTGTCGCGACTTTCGACTCCCACCTAGTATTGGGATAACTAGGAAATAGAAAAAGATTTATCATTATTGCGAGTGAACTTGTTGGCCATGGAAAAATTATAACAAATGAGGAGATGGTTAGAAAATCTTGAGGTTACTACTAGAGTACGGGTGGGAGTAACCTCAAGATTTTCTAGTTATCCCAATACTAGGTGACGACTCTTTTTCTATTTTCTTATTTTCCAAAGCTCGTTGGGCTCCCAACGTCGTACCTTACGACAACCGTTACTATCGTTATCTTTCTCATAACTCATAACCAAATTCAATGCTATGTATTTTTTCACGTTCACTCTCTTTTATTTTAAGGTCATTGACTTTTTTCTTCACGAGCAATGAGCTATCTAATGAATTCATCAAAGTTAAGCATTTTTAGATTTTTCACCTCCCCTATTGTCGTGACTTTCGACTCGTAGACTTTAGTAGTAACCTCAAGATTTTTCTAACCATCTCCTCATTTGTTATACTTTTTCCATGGCCAACAAGTTCACTCGTAATAGTGATAAATCTTGTGTGTGATTCACAATTGTCTTCACCCGGTTCCATCTTAAAATGCTCATGGTCTTTAGTAAGATTAATCAACCTTGAGTCCATGACTTCACTTGTTTTCTCATGAGTAATTCAAAGGGTTTTCAAATTTTATAAACCTATTTGGAATTTTTCATCTTAGTGAACTCAATATTGCTCAATACGTAAAATAAAGCATTTGTTGCTTTAACATTATAATGTGTCTACTCTTTTGCTTATCATTCCACTCAACAATTGACTTAGGAACCACGATATCATTTGTCTCGGTCTTTATGAATCTAACATACATGTTTTCAACAACTTCCCACGACTCCGATGTCATATAACACAAAAAGGTCTTCATCCTAACTTTCTAATTAGCATGATTTTTTCCATTAAAAAATAGAGTTTTTGCCAAGCATTGACCCTCTACTACCATGATCTTAACTCTTAAGCAATTAAACCATAATAAAAACCCTTGCTCTGCTGCCAATTAAAAGCCCTAGCATCTAAGAGGAGGAGCTGAATTAGAAACTTAATTAAAATGTTTAAATTAAATTTTTATCCTTTTTTTGAACATGATATAACAATAAACTCAAAATCAATCTTATGCTAGTTCATTTTAACCAATCAAACACATTATCACCAATGGATATTGAGTATATGTAAATAAAGTAGAATAAGAGAGATTACACCAAGATATATAGTGGTTCAGCCTCACCACCAAGTCCACTTTTAGAACGATAAGTTTGAGTTTTTGCACTACCTTTTCCCTTTTTTTCTTTTTTTTTTTTTTTTTCGGCTGACCCATCATCTTTACACCATTTTTTTCTAGACTCAATATTAGAACACCCTTCGCTCTCATGCTCTCACAAAAAGCTCACTACCTTTTAAACAAGTGGTTAAAGTGTCACTTACACTTTAATAAAAGGTTTTTGTTATATATCAAAGATTGGCAACCCAAAAAGATATGACATAAAGGTGTATCTATGAATAAGCTTAAATCACACAACCAACTCTTAAAATGGTTTTGTCGGACAAAAGTTGCATCTGGTTTACCAGACGGAAGCCATATCAAAGCATGTGACCGTTGATAATTTTTTAAGTGCGAGAGGATTTTTTATTAGGTCATGTAGGAAAGAGAGAAAAGGAAAATATGCAGCTCGAATAATCTTTCTTTCATGTGTCTACAAAAAGTGAGGACTAAAGAAATAATTCAAATTTGAAAGAGATAAGGATAAGTGGAGACCTAAAGAGAATGTTAGTGGCTGTAAAATGACATCACATAATGATCAGATAAAATCATAAAAATGATAGATACGTGCAAAATAGGACAAGCAATGCAAGGACAAAATCTCATTTTGTCCCGCTTCCATCTGGCTTACCAAATGCCGAACCAATTTGATCCAAACCATGTCAAAAAGTTGTCCTAAGGTTTTTCTAATGCATGTGATGTAAATGCATTATGCAAGTCACATTTTATTAAAAGGAAAACTTATGTAATATAAATAAAATCATCTTGAAGAGTATGATCCATCTTGAAAGATGTGGTCTATCTGGATAAATAATTTATTCATGATGCGGTCTTCAAACACATCAATAAATAATATTCCACATGTCTTGAATTTAATAATAAACCTATAAACACGTTTTGAAGATAAATAATTAATAATTCAATATTAGCAGTTTTTATACATCAAAATTAAAACTAATCGGACCATTGATCCAAAATCTTTTAGAATGATTTGGTGATCGTAATAGTGTGATGAACGATGACATAAAAGAATCTAATCTAAACACCTATTATCATGTATTAAAATTAAAAGAAAAAATATATATGAGATATCAATCAAAACGGTTAATTTTTCAGAAACCTTTTAGCAGTTTAGTCCTAAAACCAAGAAAGGTTTGGAGAAGAAGAAGATACTAGTGTGTAAAAATTACTAGCACGTATAGAAAAGAACTCACGTGGTTAAGCTAGGAAGTTACAGAGACTTTGGTGTTGTGCATTCTCCTGAACTCCTTGCAGGCCCATGAGATGAGAACCCCAATAAGTAGCCCATGAGATCGTTTATGGGCTACTTATTGGGGTGACTAAAAGTGCTAAAACTAGGATGCTTTGTCATGATATTTATTTATTTATTTTTGCTGTTTGGGCCTTTCAGCTGCTTATAGAATAAAATTCAGGTCTCAAGACGGATAGAGGAGCATCGTCAAAAGGGAGAGTCACTTCTAGTAGAGACAGACAGGACCAACGGTTGGGATTTTATTTGACACGAAACTCGCTTTCTTCAGCCGACTCTGACGGCTACGTTTTTCATCACTCAATCAGATCGGATCTCATCTCTTTCTCTCCAATATCCTGCTTCCTATCAGGTGAAATCCCTAACCCTAGCTTACCTAAACTTGTGGATGTTTCCTTTAGTTTGTCATAATGGAATTTTGTTAGATGCCTACTTATCTATCTGTTCTTAGCGATGAAATTTATGTTTTATTGGAGATGGTTTATTTATTTATGATGGAATTTTTTAAATGCCTGCCGATCTGTTTTTCCGCTGGTTAAAGCCACGATCTGCCTTTTTGTTTCTGCAGTTGAAAATGGCAGAATCAAAATCAGGATTGAGGAAGCCTGTATTCACCAAGGTTGAACAGCTTCGCCCAGGCACTAGCGGCCACACTCTTACTGTGAAGGTTGTTAGTGCAAAGATGGTGTTGCAGAAGGGTCGTGCTGATGGTCCTCATGTACGCCAAATGAGAATTGCTGAATGTTTGGTTGGGGATGAGACTGGATTGATTATCTTTACAGCTAGAAATGATCAAGGTATTTTCTTGTCTTTTTTTTTTTTTTCCGTCTTTTGTTGAGATTTAGGCCATTGAATCAGCAAATGTTGTTTGAAGGGTCCTTGACTGTCTTTATTCTAGTATGTTGCTCACTGGTTCCAAGTAGTTGTTCTCAGTTCTTGGATTCGAGGTTAAATCCTCTTGATTATTGTGTGATTAGAATAGTTATATCCTGAATTTGTTCAAATGGCCAATTTCTTTAAGTGCCAGGTTCGATATTATTCTGGCAATGCAGTTGTGTTTAGTTTTCTGTCATTTTTTTTGATGATTTTTCTTTGTTAGAACTTGAAGCTTGTGCACCCGATCTGATAAGTGAGAATCTGTGATTACTTTTGGATGATATGTTCAGTCGAAGTAACAAATCCTTGTCAGACTATTTGTACACGGCACCAAAAAAGAAGACTCTTAACCATCAATTTTTGCTGTTACTTGAACTAAATAATAGCAATTTTGTCTTGAATTTTTTGTCTTTCGACAATTTGGTTGAGGCTCTTCATATAAGAATATTTCTTTTCCGGAAACTGTACAAGGCATGTGTTATTTTGCTTTCTTCATTTGTCAAACAAGGAATCAATAATTCGAATTCGGATTATACAACTATGTATATATCTTTTGGATTTTCCTAGTCTTTCTAGTTTTATTTAACTCTTGTTCTTATTTTTGTTTAGTGGACTTGATGAAAGAGGGCAGTACTGTGATCCTTCGCAATGCGAAAATTGACATGTTTAAAGGATCAATGAGGCTTGCTGTGGACAAGTGGGGCCGTGTTGAAGTCACTGAACCTGCTGATTTCACTGTGAAGGAAGATAACAACCTATCACTGATTGAATATGAGCTTGTGAACGTTGTTGAAGAATGACTTCTGAATGGTGTTTGCTGAATGGTGTTTGCTATTCAACTAGATGGTGACCTGAGAATAAAAAACAACTCCAGATAAAGCAAATTACTATTAGAGGACATATTATGTCCAAAATACTTCTGAAAGTTCATTTACGAAACAGGATATCTGCAAGCTTATACTGCCCCTGTTGCTTTTACCTTTCCCGTAAATCCAGCAGCAGCCGTTGATTGGACTTCCGAACAGATGGTGATGGCTGTAAATCAATGAGTTCAAGCAGCTTCCTTTAGGAACTTGGTTTGGTTTGCTTACTACCTATTTATTTTTGGACAGTTGTTGATCTTGCGCTTTGTCGTGATAGATATAAAAATTATCGAAAGTATGTTCTGTAGTTGGTCTAATTTGTCTGGTTCTTGCATGCTTGGTTTTTTTTTTTTTATTTATGTTGTCTACTCCAATCTTCACTTGTTCAAATGTGAAATACTCAATTGGACACTCGATCAAGCCTCCATTTCAGTTAATAGCATATGTGAGGGGGGTCCTTGCGTAGATTGTTTGGAAGTTTAGATGGTAATGAGCAAAGGCAATCATGGCCTTATCTGTTTATGGATTTCAACAAAGTTTTCTGTTCTGTTTCATCTTGCATGTATATTGAATAGGTTAATCCAAGTGTAGGTATCTCTACCCTGAAAATAAATCAAAATGCCTAGCGAACATTTTGAACCTTGAACAAGAATGAAGTGTGGATTGCTTATATTCTCAAAAGGGAAGGAAAAAAAGACTGTCGAAGGAGGAATATGCATTGCGAATAGCATGGGCTAGAGGATTTCTGGTTTTTCCATTACGAAGGTAGAGCTTTGAGAGGACGCTGAGTTCAAGGTTGTCTTTTATTGAATTTGGGTGTGTATATATATATATTTTGAGAAGTCCTCCCCAGGAAGTTTAAGTGAGCTTTTGTTATTAAAAATATTTGCTATTTGAAAGATTATTATCGTAAAAGTTTTGGCTAATGTTTTCAAAGGAACAAGTTTCAAATCATTTCTTAGTTTTTGGTATCATTGTACTACAAAAATTGTGATATATATATAATGCACGCAGTTAAACTTAACAAACTTCATGATGGGAATGTTCAATATAGTTTTTGTTTTTGTTTTTTTGTTTTTTGGTTTTTCCATATCATACATACTGTTGAGGTTAGCAACATATCATGCATACAGTTGAGATTAACACTACCATAAATTAATGGAGAAACATACCTTATTAAGAGGCTCTATTGATCAAAGAGCATTAATTTCTTTCAATCAATAAGAAACATGCAACACAATCCAATAAAAAGATATCAAACCTTATTCCAAGGACAAAAAATCTAAACAAAATAAATTTTTTTTGCGTAAATTAAATTTAAATCTAAATTGTTTACACACTAAAAAAACAAAAACAAAACAAACCAAAAAAAAAAAAAAAAAGAACTAGGAAGAGATTGCTAGAGTTTTATGTTATTGGGCTATTATAATCTCATTGAAAACTATCACCAATGACTGCAAAAGTGGATAGCTAATAACCTAAATTACCGAACAAAGTAGTGGTAGGAGTAAGAGTAATAGATAATTCTTCCAAATGAGCTGCTAATTCCTTTAAACTTCAGCTAAGGATGTTTTTGGTATGGGATAATGGGGTTGAAAATGATCAGTTTTGGGAAAAAGTAAAGAGTTGATGATGAGACTCCAAGTTATATTTATAATTTATGGCAATTGGCTATACTAACACCCTTTTCATAAAGTTTTTAATTCTCTTTCAAACAATTATAAAAGACTAACTTTCACTTTCATTTTTGTATTTTAAAAAATTACTCATGTAACCATTTTTTAACTTCAAATCAAACACTAACTAATATTAAAACACATGGGGGCAAGTGTGATGGATAAGACCAAATCCAATAGAAAGATAGCTAGTGGCATTTAGTTCCTGTCTCTGGATAGTTTTCGACCAAGATACAAGGATGGAAACACAATAGTTGTAATTATTATTATTATTATTATTTTCAAAATCATCCTTTTAAATAAATCCTAAGTTCAACCTCTATCTTTACTTTCAGATTTGGTCCATTGATTCCAGGCCCGTCTGCACCTAGGCTTGGTTCAAGGCCCAAGTATATATATATATATTTAAAAAAAAAAACACTTATTCGTTTCCCATCTTCTTTTTCAAATGTACTTCTTGCAAAATATTTTTAACACGTATAATTGATTACAACTTTTGCTTGTCAATTCATCAATTAGATTATATATATATATATATCCAAGTAAATTACCATTTGTTTAATAGATATAAAAGGAAAAATATTATTGCTAAAAAATAATTTAATATAAATTATCTTGCATAAAACACTGAAATGAAAAATATTTTATAGGAAAAAAGTATAAGAATAATATCATACAAGGATAAAGGAAACTTCTATGTATGTTTTTATTGTCTTGCTTATCACCCACCAAACAGGATACAAAGACAATTACTTTATATTATACACCACTATCGAACATAAATTTGTTTTCATCTGTTGTTTAGTCCTGTCCTCTCAGGATTGTTTTGTCTCTTTTGTCTTGAGACAACACGCAAACACTATTTAGTTTATCTATAAATATACTTAATATAAAAGCACAAACTTGTTATTCAAACAACAGATTCAGTTAACCTAAATTTAAATATTTAAAAGATATTTATCTAATATTTAATTTAATTGAAATACCCTTAAATATACGAAATTACAAAGGTATCTCTTAAAGTTTTTATTTTATTTTATTTTATTATTTTATTTTATTTATCTAAAGATAGCTCTTTAATAATAAAATAAACTCAATTCATTGCGTTTCGTACTTGCTTCACTGAAGCTTGAAGGAAGTTATCATATACATAACCAATAAATATTGCTGCTTGTATTGAAGTTTGAGTATATTATAAATTAGTCCTTTTAGTTTTAAAAAATGAATTAAATAGTCTTTTTAGTTTAAATAACTAATTAATTAGTTTGATCATGCTTAATTTAGTGGTATTTTGTTCCAAAAAATGTGTTTTTCCTCACCAATCTTTTCATTTTATCTACTTTTTTTTTCTTTTCTCTATTTCTTAAAAAAAAAAAAAACGACAAAAAGGTTTAACAAACAAATGGATTTAAAAATATAGGGACTAAATATATATTTTCTAAAACTACAAGAGCTAATGAGGAATCCCAATTTCGACAAAGGGAAGTTGAGAGTTGGAAACTTCACGAGAGGGAATTGAATGAGCTGCATGACCCTTCTTTATGTATGGAGGCTGAAAAGAACCCAATCAGTTCCTTTTCACATGCAAATTTCTTATTCCTCTAAAATACCAATCTGATTTTAAAGACATGCAATATCTCTAATAATAATTTTTTCTTTTCTTTTTTGAAGGATTTGACTTTTGTGGCATAATTAATGAATCTTTGTCTGAGTGATATTGGGAAGGAATTCTTTGATTCTCAACCCCAAGGGATCGATCTTTTATACAATTCCGAGGTGTAGATAAAGTTTCAAACCATTTGCATCCATCGATGATAAATTGAATTTGACAAAACTGATATTCTGCTTCTTCTTTCTTTTAGATGTTGAATGAGAGGTGTTATTAAACGAGACATGATCGAAGACTATAAAGATTTAATTTAAAAAATCAAGGGGTTGATTTTAATGAAAAAAGTCTATTTGCTTAAATAAATAATTTTAAGTTTGAATTTTTATTTATATAAAAAAAACTTTTTGAATAATTATTTTTGTTTTGTGCGTCTAATAGAATAACATGCATTATTAGACTTTTGAAATTGAAATACCTTGAGAATTAAAAAAAATTCCTTCAACTTTTTGTTTATCTTATAATTTATTACCTTAGCCGAATTCATCAATATTGCCATCAAGTTTTGAAATCCGATATTGGGTTCTTGATAGCTTACCGCAGAATCATAATGTGGAGAATTCTCTACTATAGGAATCCGTTGCTTGCTTTAAAAGCCCCTCCTTTGGAAAACAGGACCTATGGATTTTAGCTTTTAAAGAGTACGGAAGAAAATGGGGAAACCTGTATTGGAGGAGACGCTTCACTACAGACTAATGAAGAGTGGAAGGCAAGTGCATGAACTAACGATACATCAGGATGAGTAAGGGAAAGATATTGTAATGATCTAAGAACTTGGCTGTAAAGATTAGCATTTGCAGAAGGAATACCATCCGAGAGTTTGAGACTCTCATTTGCTGCTAATGGAGTGGAAATAGGCTTGGCGTCTGACATGTTTACCCATTGTAGTATATCACGATGCACTTTTGCTGAGAGAGAAATAAGCCAGTGGTTATTAAGTGAGCTTCAACTCCAAGAAAGTATGAGAGATTGCCAAGGTCTTTGAGGAAGAAATGATGAGCAAGGAATGAGATGAAGTTGGTTACAGTTGATGTAAGAGATCCTATGGTTATTATATCATCAACATACACAAGAATATAGATCACAGAGGCTGCACTATGAAGCATAAAAAAGAGAGAGGCATCAAAGTGAGAGTTGGAGAAGCCTTTAGAAAGAAGAAAATTATGAAGCTTATGGTACCACACACATGGAGCTTATTGAAGACCATAAATAGTTTTTGCAGTTTGTAAACATGAGTAGGGCAATTTGTGTTCTCAAATCCAGGGGATTGGCCCATGAACACCTCTTTGGACAAAAAACCCTACAAGAAAGCTTTGTTTACATCAAGTTGACGAAGAGACCAACTGTTAGTGATAGCCAAGGCTAGTATTCAATGAATAGTAATAGGTTTAATGATAAGGCTATAGGTTTTAGAAAATCGATCCTAGGATGCTGCTAAAAGCCCTTAACAACTAGCCAAGCCTTATACCAAACAAGAGAACCATTTGGATTTTTCTTAACTCTATTGATCCACTTATAGTTAATAACATTTTATGCAGATGTGCGAGGAACTAAGGTCTATGTTTTGTTGGCTAAGAGGGTAATGAACTCATCAC